TTGATAGAAACGGATAAGACTTAAATTAAATTATTAAGTTTCGAAACAAAAAGCTCTTTAACTAAAACACAATGAAAATGAGAAAATATTCGCAATCGTATATCTATTTAAATACGCAATCTAACCTTTGCCGCCCCAGCAGTAATCGTCAACATCCCAATTAAAACCCGATTAAAAAACAACCCCTATCAGGGGCAACCCTGGCAACGACGGAGGGTTGTCACCGAAGCGGTGTGCGGTAATTAATTCAGTCTGAGGCGCTAATTTGAGCGGAGAGAAGTCACCAGCCCTCGCCTCCCGCGACCCGCGCCCACGGGCTTGGTAGATTAAGTTACAGACGCGACAAATTCTACAGAGTAACTCCTATGATACACTCCAAATTGATTTAATTAGGGACGTTTCGAAATTTGTTTGAAAAGGGCAAAGATCATGTAACCGTAGAGTTCTTAAAAACCTTCATACTTAAATTACAAAAAATTACATACAGACAAGTAGGAAACAAGGGCTTTGAGTCTGACTAAATGGTAGAAATATGATTACTTGACTTCCGTATTAAATGGAGTGATAGTATATTAAATATTTAAACTGGTCGCTATCAGCATTTCTACACGTGTGGCTTTTCAACTTTCACACCAGAATGTCACTTGTGTTCAACCCGCTTCCCGCATTCCTTCAATTTGCCATATCCCGAGTGGAAGCCCGTACGTAGACAGCGGGCACTTCAGACACCTGCCTGAGATTGCAGACAATCGCCAGAGGGGGGCATTGAGCGCCCACGGGCCGTGATAGCGCGCCTTGATTGTTGCGTCTACCTTACGATAACATATGTTTGTGCTCATTTCTCGCCAATATAAGTCCTACAGAAATATATTTTTATGTACTTACCATATTGTGTATGTTTTATACTTGACTGTGATATGAAAGTCTTAAATTTACTCCTGTGATGGTGTTAACGCGATTACTTAATAATCCAAATCTGTGGAGACTAGAAAATACGATATTCTTCCGGGAGTCAACTATTTTCATTCATTATTGTACAATTAAAGCATAAAATCTCTGTTCCTTAAATCTAAACGCGTCAGATAAATAATTCTCGTTGTTAATGTAAAGTGTTCCCTTGTAATAATATTGAACCGCGCCGCAAACATAAACGGGATATTTCTGTAGCGGTATGTCTAAATATATTCGAGACGTGTCATCTGGATAGTATTAGGATTATCGTCAGAGATTTCTATATGTGGAATGAAAATAACTGTTTAAATGCGTAAGCCGTAAAAAGATCAAGCGTAACGATTACAAAGAATTTATGGTTTTAAAAAAGATGTCTTTGGTATTTTTAGGGGTTGGGTGATTTTTACGTTCCACACTAAATATAACCAATTTTTTAAATCTTGGTTACTAATTTCAAACGTCGCAAAAGAATATAAGACTATATTGTAAAGTATTCGTTTTATTTATTTATTTATTTATTTATTGGTGATAACCACTCAGCAAATGTGCTGATCTTCCGTGGCTTTTAACATAGATGGCACACATGTTTAGACATAACAAACACATTCTCCATTACAAAATAAAATTTACATTGTCACAATATAATTTTGACATAAGCAATTGATAACCTGACACATTTAAATAACATAAATAAACTTTTTAATAAAAAAAAAACGTTTATTCACAATATAAAGCTATATAATCATGCATCTTCTAAATTGTATTAAGCAAAAGATAACAAAAAACCCATTTCGAGTTTTAA